TGTTGTTGTTGTTGATGGTGGTGGTGCGGTATCTTCATCACCTCTGTCTTCTCTATATTCACCTGAAGTCCCGTCTTAGCTGCCTCTTCTGTCAACTTGTTAGTTTTTGCCTGCAGATCTTCAAGTTTATGTGACATTAGGCATAAGTCATCGGCGAAATCCAAGTCTTCTAGGTTCTTTTCCGTCGTCCAGTGTATCCCCCTCTTCTCGCTGCCTACTGTTTGCTGCATGATCCAGTCCACCACAATAAGGAATATCATGGGGGATAGTAGGCAACCTTGTTTCACTCCTGTCTTCACTTCAAAGGCATCACTGAGCTTCCCATTGTGGATTACTTGGCATGTGGCATCTTCATATAGTTGTTGAATGAGGCGGATAAAGGTTTGCGGTACTCCGTAGTATTGAAGCAGTTTCCAAATTACTTCTCGGTCGACGCTGTCAAAGGCCTTCTCAAAGTCGATGAAGTTGAGGTAGAGAGCTGATTGCCATTCCTGAACTGCCATGGAACCACTAATTTATTTCTTTAAATGATAGTTACATTTTTATCTTTCTCAGGTTATCCTATGCATCTGGAGACTATTGTCAATCATTTATGAACGGTAAGTCCCATCCACTTCTTCGAAGACTCAACTAAACTGTTTTGCAGCTTTTTTTTCTCTCAGAGTTAATGAAACCGTGTTATCAGATGTCAACAAAATCGACTTTACTGAAAAAATAGTTGGTTGATCGTAACAACTTTTCATTCACATATTATCGTACCTGAAAACTCATTTTGTTTAGATATTAGTTGATGATTAAGTTCTTCATACTATAATACAATGCTCATCTAAAATTAGATAGGTGATTCTCTCAAAATGTAATATAAGAGAAAGACGATACAAATGAACTCTTGCTTTCATATGAAGAACTTGGATTACTAATGTTTTATTTTGGGTGTTATTTGCCTGGTGATAGATTACAGTGGAATCCAAGACGAGCGTTTCGTCCTGTTTGGGACTCCTCAGCCGGATGCACTTAGGTTTAAGTGAGTGATAGTGTCCCCGTGGAGACTCGAACCCAGGACCTATCGCTACAAATTGCGGAGAGTTATCCATTAGGCTAATGACGCATGGCAGCTAACTCTTGTGCAATGGGTATCATTTGTTTATTTATTGATGTTGGTAACTTTTTATCGAAATGACCAGTGTCTCTTGGCGTACAGGCTGCTGGAATGGATGCTTCTCTATTGTCTGTTTTTATTCTGGCTTTATTTGGTTGGTAGGTAGATGACGCATGGTTTGTCATAGTGATTGCCTTATTCAGTCAATAACAAACAAATGTTATTGATGTGACCAAGCGTCTAATTCGTCGGTGATGAACTTTTGCTAGGCACTTCTATACCTGCATTAGTTTAAATATGTATACTACCGTGATCTATTTTCACCACTTTATACGAATATACGCGCTACTATGAGAATGTGTACACAATGCACACTAATAACTGTTCTAAGCTTCCTGTCTTAATTAGTAAATGATAAATATTGGTACACGAAAATGCTAGAAATGCAGTATCGATTGACTGGAACCAAAACTATTGATAAACAATAATGGTTATTAAACTATACAAACTAAGTTGTCCAGCTATTAAAATTTTTCTCACATGAAGGTCATTGTGTCTGGTTAGGATGACTAATACACTACTTCCGTTCAGATAGGTAAGAAAGCTACGCCCTGAGCTAATATTATAAAAATGTGCTGAGAATCTGTAAAATACACAGCAATTAGGAAAACAGAGTATTTCGTCAGTTGAAACGCAGTCAAACGTATTAATGAGGCATAACGATGAAGATTCACAAGCTGTAACATCAAAGACTATACTATACCCACCGTACAAACAGTGTCTGTCGTGACACAGTAACCTGGTACATAATGCTGTTATGTTTGAAGCGATCGGCCCTCGATTCCAGTCTCGGCGGGAACAATATCGCTCACTAGGAGGCAGGTACATCCAGCTGACGAGTCCCAAGTAGGACAAAACGCGCGTTCTGGATTCCACTGCTAACCATTATCCATCGTTAATACCAAAAATGCGAATATATCGGCAGTATCGAGACATCCTCACAGGAGACCATGTGTCAACAGAGACCGATCAATTCGGTCCAATCAACGACGGAGATTCACAAGCCACAACGTCAAAGACAAAAGTCGAGAGTAATAACGATATTTACTAGGAGTGGAGCCCAGGATACTCATCCTGTACACTATCAGAAGGATGCACAATGTACCTAGGGGCAGATTCAGCGAAACCACAAGCCTGTATACTCAACTGAGCCAATACAGACTATGAAAGACAATGTCATATGCAATTGTACCTGCAATTCTTAGCAGATGTATGGTGGCATATACATAGGGAAGAACCATAGATTCATGCAAGGGAAGGCATCAGAGCATATTCCAAAGTAGCTTCTAAAGCAAATTGAATCACCTGATCCTATAAACGTTGGCAACAGATATCTAAACTCTTCCATTGAGAAACATATCATTCGGATAGGTTAAAAAACCTGTATGTTCAAAACAGTAAACCTTCCTTGGTGGATTTAGCTCTAAGACCAAGGTAAGTGTACTATTATTTTTGCTCTGTTGATTTTCATTGCTATTTTGCCCTTCAGTTTAGCCTTCCCAATTAACCTGTTTTTATATTCTCACCCCTCATCTCTGTATAACCTTGTGTTGTGCAAATATATAACTCAATATAGACAAATTACATCTTATTATCGTTTTATCTGCGTTGTCTTATTTCATGAGTGCTCTTTGTCCGTACTTTGAAACTGATACATTGGGTTAATAAAGTCTGCGTGTGATATTTTTTAGGTGTCTCGAATATTCATGTTTTACAGACATCTTTGGAAACAAAACAGACAGACAGATAAAATCAACGTTAAACGTAGTGCATCGGTTCCGGCTGCCACAATTTACAGTAGTAGACAACGAATAAGTGCATAGGAAGGACTGATATAAAAATAGACAAAAGTGTATGGAAAGAGAAACAATTTGAAAATGAAGGTTAGTCAAAACGCTCAAGCTTTAGAAGGCATCAAAAAGCGAATAAAACTACGCCATTTTGACCAATTTTCAGTCATTTTACAAAGAGTTCTCTAAACATTAGTTCCTATCGTCTCAAGGACCCTACTCCAGGGTTATCTACACCTTCTCCCACGGCTCAGATTAAGTCAGAGACTTCATGGATTGGTGCCACGTCTAATTCTGACTAGGTCCTCAGAAACCTGATAGCTCAGTTGGTAGAACATCGGGGCAAGAAACCCGGCAGTCATTGGTTCGAATCCGCCCGCCATCCAAATTTCCATTTCACTTTCAATCATCACCCAGTATAAATACTAGCCTGCCAAACCACGGCTATCTAAGTTAGTCAAAACAATAGTTAAATCAATTAATACACCACTTTTAACTATTCCATTAAGCATTGCATGTTTGCTTAACATGATCAACTATCATGAAGCGATTCATTGACCAAACTCTTTTCAGTAATAATAAACAGATACAGCAATAGAAAGGTTTGTGCAAGAGAGAATGAGTAAAAATTGTTACGCCGTAATTGCCTGCAAAGAAGAAGTCAGTTGAAGTAAGAAGATACTGAAATGAATGAGACTGAAGTGGAGAAAAATACGATGTTTAAGATTTTGAAGTTCATCTGTACCACCTTTTTTAAAGCTAGCATACTTAATCAGCACTCAGTATATGTAGACCTTGACCACTTTACTCACTTTGAATGTTACATTCAGCTTAATAAGGTGGTTGCTGATAAAATCGAAGACTATAATTTAAAAACTCATTTGTTATTTCCCAAATTATGCCATATCTGGTGCTGGCAAATTTCCTAAATGTATATCAAAAGGAGGAGTATAGTATTCAGTAGTTCGCTCTGTCCTGTTTTATAGCTGTTAGATATAGCCATTGAAAGTAGAAGACACAAGGACATAGCAGGTTATCTGATTATCGGTGTCTATGTGGTACTGGATAAGCTTAGTGGGATTAAAACCAAGTACTACTAGCTATTGATGAGGCTATGAACCTTTACCAACTGAGGTGGTTTGTACTTGTAATGTGTGTGTATCGACCGAGCCCAATGGATTATGTTGACCGAAATAATATTATGTTAGGAAGGAATAAAGGTGGCTACCACGTAATACGAAGCTACAACGTGTTTAATTGAGTGAGCAACAGAGAAAAATGTGCGCTGGCTAGCTCGGATCCCTGAGGTGATAGGAGTTAGGGATTGGAGATTCTTGGTAATATGGCTAAAAACTGGTCTCAGTGAGGCAGATACTAATACAGTTTGTCAGTTTCCAACCAAGCAAGATTTGTTTTTCACTCTGTCTTGTAAACTTCTGTCTGGCTGAATTTCCTTTTTCTATGTGCGCTGTAATGAAATGTGGTAGAAATTGAGCTGATACACCTCTATGCAAGGTTTTACATAGTTTTTCCTATGGGTTAATATTTGTTTCATAACGAAATTACATACAAACATGTATGGAAATACTAGAAGAAAGATGGGATGGTTCTGTATGTCCAATAAATTCCAGCAATTCTGTGACAAAAATGAATAAATCGACAGAACACATAAAAAGACAACTAGATAGATATTTTACAGTAATGATAGATAGTGGCTTGCAGTGGAATAAAGGACGCGCGTTTAGTCCCATTTGGGACTCGTCATCTGCCTCTCGGTGAGCGATGTCGTTCACACTAAGACTCGAACCCGGCACCGATCACTTTAAACGCCATACCCATAAGGCCACCGAGTTACGATAACTTCTTCTTGTGCGACGGGCATAGTCTTTATGTTGTTGCTTGGTTTAGTCAACGACCGTATAACACAAACAACATAAGAACTATACCCATCGCAAAGGAAGTGGCTATCCTTACACAATAGCCTGGTACACAATGCTCTCGCGTTTGAAGTGGTCCTGGGTTCGAGTTTTACAGAGAACAATACCACTCACCGGGACGCAGGTGCATCCACATGATGAATCCCAAATAGGACGACACGCGAGTTCTGGATTCCACTGCTTGCCACTATTCATCATTAAAACCAAGAATTCGAAATTTCCAGCAATATCTAGGCATCCGCGCAAGAGCCGATATGCCAATAATGACCGATCAATCCGGTCTAATCAACGATGAGACAATACAAGAAACAATATGGATAGGTAGATATATCAATACATATACCTCATCTAGAGAGAAATCATAATGCTGATCAACTATATTCTGAATTCTTTTATCCTGATTATCTGTTTCATCAATAAATTCCAATTTTTGCCATGTAACTAGATTAATACCTGTAGAATTAATCAACTGTTGATATTCCACATAATTTGTATTGGATAAATCGATAAATGAATGAATCTGTCTCTCATAAGCGTATACTTCAAGTATTTGATGAGTTGACTTGTCATATTTATAACGTGTTAAAATCTCTCTAACCTCCTTGAAATCTACCACAGATAATGAATTTTCATTCCAAACATCAATTGGTCTTTGTAATCTTTCACATAGTGTTTTCTCTTTGTCAATAATAATGATATTGTCTGGGGTAGTTCGGTGATTTCCAGAAGTAGTGACGATGGTATCACCAATAGCTGTAGTAGCATAAGTTACTTGACATTTTCCCGAGCTATCGATCTCAATGCCTGGTTCAAATCTGTGATGTATATTAAAAAGGCTTAATAATCCTTTAAAGATGTTGATTTCAGTGACACCTTTTTTTAATGTTGATCTCGAGATGAATATTCTATCAATTAGACCTTTGTGATCAAATAAAGTTAGACAGTTTAGAGTTACTTCATCTTCGATCGAGGTTTTACCATCAATGATCAATGTTACATGCCACAATCTTTTGCTTATTTCATCACTTTTCTCGACGATTTCATTCAATATTATAGGTGTGATATATACTCTACCTGACAAAATATCCAGTACTGCTTCCTTATAAGAATTTTCAGATATATTAGTTACATAATTGTATACAAATGTTTTTGCCTCTAATCGATTTATAGTGGATGAAAATAAGAATAATAGCAAAATATTCATAAATTGAAACTGCCATTTGCATTTTGAACAAACATTTATCAGAAACTCCATATAGATATGTGAAACTACGAATGAATGAATAAAAAGTGCAAATACTAAATCATAGAAAATTCCTGCATGTGCTATTGGACACATTTATCTCCATTTTTATAGGTTAATATGATTGCCCGAATACGGTACACAACCAATCATTTTTAAGGTTAGTCAGTCGTATATAGTCAGCCCTTGTTAACTTTCAAGGGCATTGGTGACCGAATACGTTCCAGCACGAATTTTGGCATACTGAATTGTGAAAATCATATAATTCCATTTCGTTTTCTGAAATTTTGATTATGCCAACTACATTTCATAAAAATGTGTTTACTAAGGTATTTTGAAATGTTCTCATAATACCGCAATGTATAAAAAATATCGGCTACCTGTTTACGAAAGTAATGGTCAACTGACGAACTTTTATAGCTAGGTATCCATGAGCCGCAAACAGAATCTCATTATATCTCTTACCACGAATTAGACGAATCTGCAGTCCCGATGTGTTGGAAGGTGAAATTTCTGTGCTAAGGAACAGTGATTGCAAATGGATTCCCACAACGCTTCATAGGCAAAAATATCAGGCCTAAACCTCACAAAGAGGATCCTACCACTGTACCAAAAAAGATACTCTACACGAGTCTAAATTCCGAAGGTGATTTTTCCACTGACACTTTAAAGAGGAGAATATCAAACCCTTGCAAAAAAAATTTCTCACATTAACGCTGAGACTAGTATTCTCTTGTCACCCAGCGATTTCTAATAACTCAAAGGACAAACATTCGCATCTAACCACTTCTCTTTGTGCTTATCAATTCATCTGTTCCTGTAAGAGCCATGTATCTAAATTCATCGGTGTGACAGTTATCTATGGTTGTTCAGGAGTACTATCCTGAGGCGTTACAAAAGAGGCAACAGTAGTTTTAACACTATTTTTATTTCCATGCTTGACAAACCATTTTAACTATCAAACCTTAACACAAACAAGAAAAATGTATAAATTTGCTATTGTCCAGCTGAAATACTTGTTCTTTTGTCATGTTCACGGACAAATCGACTTAAGAAAATCAGAAGTCGTATTCAAGTCAAATAACTGCCCATTCTGTGAAATATTGTCTGTTTAGTAAGTCGTTAACTTTTCCAACCCATATGGACGTAGATGTTCACCTCAACTATGGTTTTCACTCAAATGAGCGAATAAAAAATAATTCGAGCAATCATAATGAAAGGTAAATCAATACATACTGACATGTTCAGGTTAAAGATAAAACTGTAGTTGACTTATTGTCCTGACGATGAGTTTACAAATACGTCTGTGTATCAGTATCTAGCAGGCAAGGAGGAAAATGGTCTGGGTAAGTTCTTTTACGCAACACACGAAACAGCATTTACCTAAGGGTGTAGTAGGCATTCCATATTGGATTCCTTGACAAAATTAACATTAAACGACCTTGTAAATTAATGCTTGTTTAATTAATTTCATATAGAACATTCTATCCTTTTCTTGATGATTTTAAATTTGTTGTTAACTCGTCACTACAACATCCTAGTTCATGCTTCTTAATATCTCCACTTTTCACACTGGTTGGTGCAGATTCATCGGCAGTGTTTGTGAGATAATAAGAAAGGCGAATGTATCTCGAGAACATTATATCAACATTATATCAAGATTGCCGTCAGGTACGGGCTCAACAAAGTACTGTCACCCTCATGAAATAATTTTTGGAAAGCTTACTTCTGTTCAGCGTGTGGCTACTGCTATTACTGTCATTTCATGAGCCTACTACAACTAACTGGTAACTCCACGTGATTTGGATGTATACTGAGGACATTCCCAGCATCATTGTAGCAGACGTTTATATTCTTCTGTTACGTACTTTCCCCTCGTAATATTATTTGTTTCTTGGCATTATTGTACCTTACTACACTATTGGTAATGTCTTGGACAACTGACGGTCTTAATGTCTCTAGACCCTCGTAATTAGGAAGTTTCAAACGTGGGATCTGTGTGTGTCACTATTCTTCTTCAGCCTTTGTTTAGCTTTACCAGCCCCCATTTATAGTTTGTTCATATTACCTAGAAAAATACAGTTTGGATAAATATACTCTTTTCTGCTAAATAAAATCTCTGAGCAAGTAAGGAAGACATACCTTATATTGTTTTAAAGCAGGAAATGATAAATTTACTTATTTATCTAACCGGAAAGTTATTGACCAACTGCTAATTGACGTGTTACTTGGTCGTATAACACCTCAGTAACTTAAGCAGCATATGAAAAGTTTACTGAGACATAGAGACTTTGATAACCGTCTATTCTGTCAGCTTTAGCTAACGCAAACGTTCTTCAAGTATCCAGCAAGTATCAGAGTTTGAATATGCGGCTATTGACACTGATCAAGTAACCGACCGTACTGAGGAAGAAATAGGTAGAAGGTATTGGCGCACTAACACAGAACCACCAAGTATCTGCTTTAGAGAAAAAGATTGGCATACTAACAGTACAAGTGAGAGCTTCACAGTCGCACAGATGGTCACCGAAGTTCCTTGCAAGTAGAACTACTTCGAAAAATAGCATGTGCTAGTACTGTAGTGGACGTTGTTGATAATAATGGATAATAAGTAGTATATGATGAGAGGGCGGCAGAAATCATAGGGAATTACCAGCAATGGGTAAGGATTCTGCCAAGAAGAACGCAAGAGACAACGCGGGCGTATAAAGGGAAAATCAAGAGAGAAGCAGAAGATGAAATGAAGTACAATTTGCAAATGACTTTCTTAATGCAAGGTGCCATATCTAAGTTGTTAATCACTACTGTACCACTTCTTAACAATAAACATCGCTTCTTTCGTCTCTGTCTTCTCGTTTCCCTCTGGTACCATCTGAAGTTTGGCGATAAGGAAGGTCTCAATGCGTTGCTGTGAGATTTTGAACCCTCTATTATTCGGGGGAATAGAGGTCAATGATCACTGGTGTCTCCGACGTACAAAGGTAGTCATTTGTTTCGGGCGACATATAAGAAGGCAAAAATGCAGTTCCTGATTAACGCTGGAGGTTAAGTGAGCATGATGCCACCAACGTTTTCCAAACTCCGGCTCAGTGCTCCATGCAGATCTGCTATTAACACTTATGGAATCAGAATTTTCGCTCCAAACTTCGGTTTCGTACATCACTCCAGTGGGAATTTATCATTGTTGATATCTCGTCTCTAATCATTGACACAGATTTTCACTAGCTGGCTCTACTTGCCACATACTGGTGAGCCGTAGTTTTGAGTATTCTATCTCAGATACCTTAACAGGCACAAAAACAGTGAGCTTGATAGTAGCCCCAACAAACAACTTCCATGAATGTTAAACTACTGGGAGAATTTTCTGATCCCAGGCAAACGGATTACACGAAGTTCTCGTTGAAACACAATGACAAACCATGTTGTCACTAAAGGTCCCCAAATTCACCAAAACCTTGATGCTTACGCATCAAAAGGTTGCAGACAGTAAAGCAGGAATTACATAAGCTTCTGGAGTTTGGAATTACACGGCATTCCAAGAGCTCACGGTCATTACCGACGTACATGGTTTCCAAAAAGACGTTGGATAAAGTGCAACCTTGTGAAGATTATGGAGCGTTAAATAATAATACCTTTGCTAATAGATATCCTATCCCTCAAATACATTTTATTAACTTGACAATAAAAGAAAATATTCCTTATCTTAGCTTATTACCATATTCCCTTGGAAGCCAATGATGCAACTAAAACTTCATTCACCAATCCCTTCGGATTATTCGAATTTATTCGTTTGCCGTTTAACCTCGCCTGGTTAACTAGTTCATTAGTTACTAGCCCGTCCTAAACCCGGATAAAGAGGGAACGTTTAACATACAGCTAGCAACCCTAACCCAGAAAACCAATCCAGTAGCTAAACAAACTTCAAAGCATAAAAAACTCATTCCTCGCTGGAATCGGGGAGACGAAATGACGCCGGTTGGTGAAAGCCTTCGGGAAGCCAATCGGCAGATATGTCCTTCCTTCTCTCGATGAAGGTGAAAGTAAAGATGGGGATATGGAATGTCTGCACAATGTTTGAAGCTGGCTGGCAAGGCTGCTTAGATTGCAAAAGATAACAGGAGGTATAGCACAGAAGTGTTAGGAATCTGAGAGGAATGTGCAGATGGAATAGAATTAGACTCTCCAAACTGTCAACTAGAGAGTCAATGATCTACTCCGATATTGTCGCCCAGACGACAACCACGAGCACACTGAGTTTTGGAGTGGCTATCATGATTTCCCCCTCCCAAAAGCATCAAATGCTCTCATGTAGTAGTTACAAATCTCCTCCTGTGGGATCATGACAGCAAGATTCAAATCAAAAGGAAGGAAAGTCAGTCATACAATGCTACGCTATGCACCTACAAATAATGCAGATGAAGAGAAGAAAGAATTCTACAGACAACTGCAATCAACACTGGACAAGATGCGTACCCAGTAGACGACATCAAAATTCTAATGGGTGACATGAATGCCAAACTCGGAGCGAACAACACAGGAAGAGAACTCATCATGGGTCGGGAAGCGCTCGGTGAAATGAACGGAAATAGAGGACTGTTTGCAGACTTCTGTGCATTCAACGATTTGCTGATTGGAGCGAGTGTGTACAAACACAAGGATATTCACAAAGCGACATGGATTTCATCAGACACCAGGACTTCATCTCAATCTGAGGAAAGTTGAGATGCAGCCTACTGGACACAAGTTCAGATCAAGAAGGGGAGCAGATGTAGGTTCAGACCACTATCTAGTGCAGGAAACCTTTCAATTCAAGTTGGAAGCCTTCAAAGAAGTTGGTGATAGACCACAGTTGAAGTTCAACACCCAGAACAGAAAGTGAACTGAAGGTCGAAACTACAAGGGGCATATACACGTCAGCCATTAGGGCAAAATGGGAGATATTGAGCAACATCCCTGAAGGAACCTGCGTGGAATAACACTGAAACTCGCTGAAAGAGGTGTGGAAGGAAACTTGCATAACCGTGTTAGGAAGGAAGAAGAAATACGACAAGGAATGGACCTCCACAGACAC